TCAGAATAGCGGTGATTTATGACATTCAAATGTTATTGCTTTTAAAATTAAAAGCCAGTTTAGGGACTTTTAAATGTTCCCTATCACAGAGTTCGTTACTGAGTCAGTTTGATTTAATTTAAATAACTTGAACTGTCAAGAGTGGCTGCAGCAGACAAGGTAGGTAATATGCTACTGTTTATTGGACCAAGAAATAATTTGCATTCTACAGTACACAAACATTTGGACTGAAAAAGCCCTTTCTTCTGGTGCAATGGTCCATTAATACTCTTTGTTTTTATGCAGGGCAGCAATGATCTTAATTCATAATCTAAACCCACACAAAACAAATTACTAGAAAGTGTCATCAAGATTCAGATAGCATTTTTAACTATCCATAAACATTAATGTCCACTTTAATTTATGAATTCCCACCTATTGATGTTCAATTCTGCTATTTTGGAACTAACAAAGTTAGTGCTGAAACCACTGCAGTAGGACAGTAGAGAGTAATCGGATCTCACTGTTCTCAACTAGAGACTATAGAATCATAATGCTCTTGATGCAACCCTAACCAACATTAACTATGTTTGAAATAACCATTTCTTTTTCTCTCTTAACATCTTCTTGTTTCTTTCTTATTGCTTTCAGTCTTTTCCTTTTATTAGATATGGGATTTGAAGTACTTTGACAATGAAAAGCCCTAATAGACCAATTCTAGTCTTGAATGCCACTCTGCTACCTGTAGAGAAACCTTAACCCAATAGAGAAAAAGGAAACAGGCCCTACAGACAGTAACTTTAGGTTGTAGTTTGGATTTTTTCACTCAATTCCTGTGGCATTTAAAGGCACCTTTTCAAAGAATCTCATGAATAACAGTCTAATTATTTCACCAGTGAAATTACCTAAAACAATTAATATGTATTTATGAAAAGAGCCCACTGATTTGACATTTAGTTTTTGAAAAGACATTCACAAGCCTCAACTCTCACTGGCAGATTATCCCCTTCGTGCAACTTTACAAAAACCCACTTGCCTGTTATGAAATTTTTGGCACTTTTCTCTGAATATGAGATATTAGGCAGTCTGGACTGTGCTATATGGCATTTCTAAAATTTGTGAGAGAAGGGCTATTCAAGGAAGGATTTTCCTTGCCTCTGCCACTCAATTTAGCAAGGCAAGAACCAGCTGTAGTTTTATTTTACTGTATGTTGTAGATCTTAGTCATCACCTAATTCATTTGTATAGCCAGACTTTCCCCAACTCAACCCACTTAGAAACATATAAAGACATTCCTGAGAAGATTGCGTTACCAGAGCATCACAGCTGCTATCTCCTGCTGGGAATACATTCATTCTGGGCCTACTTAAGATCAGACTTAAGCAGCACTTGTATGTCTCGTTAGCCTTCTATCTGTACACTGAAAATGGTTAATTCACAAATCAGGATGATGCTTCCATCAGCTTTTTCTCCACCTGTTGCTTTCTCAAGCCTGCTACAACCCCTGATGTGAGGAAAAAACAACCTCTAGCCATTTGAACAAAAAAGCAATCATTTTAGCATGCTTTATCCTCACAAGAACCCTAATGAGGGGAACATATTAACAGAGTAACGGTAGAGGCCTTTTACAAGTTACAACCCTATCAGCTGTGAAAAGTCATACTTGAAAGAAGATATCTTTTCTTTTTCCTTGAGCTTAAACAAGGCTTTTGCCATTGGAGTTTTTGCCATAGCTCTGCCTTTCCCAAAAGTCTACTTAATTTATAGTAAGATTTCACTGCCGTTTGTGTTTCAGTTCTGAAACAGAAATAGATAAATACGGCACAATTGACTGATTTGCACTTTTGATGCATTCACCATGTCACTATTGTGTTAGAATGACAGGCAAAGCCTCAGGCAACAGAGAACACTTGTGTCTATTTTTCCGTGTTTTTGTTTGTGTTACAAAAGCAAAGATTTGAAACAGCACTGTGTGCTTCATTATCTGCTGGCTCATGCATCTTACATTTGCTTTGCAAAGAAAATATAAAATGGAAAGATTTGTACATAATCACTGACAGTTAAAAAATAGACTGCATGGTTCAAGTTGCCCAGTCGTACTTCAGAACTGCTATACACTAAATATAAGTCTTGCCACGCCAACCAACACCTCTGTCACTGTCAAAAAATAATTGTTTAATGTCAGGAAGAATCACTCCTTTAAACCTGCCTCATCAGTATTTGTCTATGGTCTAGTCTGATTTGTTATCTTGGCCTTATGTGTAAAAAACAGCTGCGTATTAGCCATGGCCAGTCTTGAGCCTGCTTAGCAGGTCACCTGTTTAGCAAGATGTGAGAGGTCAAAACCACAAGAGTGATTGATAGGAGTACGGAAACTCATTCCTCTCATCAGCACGACAGTATGTTGGCCTGATATGCCACACAGGACCACAGGGATGGTGACAAATGAACTGCAGGTGTGCTGAAATGAGTCAGACCCAGGTGCAGATTAAGACTGACATGGGACTCCCACAGTCATGAGAACTACTGTTTCAGACTGGAGCAGAGGTTGGTACTATGCCACTCAAAATTGAAACACAGCACTACTGTGCTAGCGTATTTGTTGACAGCATTGGAACATGGCACAAAGTATACAGTCTAATAGATGAAATGTGATTAATAGTCAGGACTCATGTGTTCTCCTGCTGGCTGTGACTGAGTCACAGTGTGGCCTTTCTCAATAAATCCAGACTTATCTGTTTAAACTTACTCATGCATCTCCATGCAGAAATTACAATTGCTGGATATAAAGCAATGGCCCTGGGTTTAACTTTTGGTAAACTGTTTGTGGTCTTCAGTGGAAAGACAGAACGAAAGAATGAAGTATTTTAACAGCTATGGAAAACATTTTGGTAATGCAACAATTTCATGCTAAAGCATGCAAATAAGAAGTTTCTTTCTTAAGATTTCATTGGCTCTTAGTCTGTTCCTTATCCGAACTTGTATAATTGTGTTTGTCACA